CCTCGGTTTTTCCGAAAACGCAGTAAAATGGTTTAAAATGACCTCTTTTCTCGCACCCAAACTGTATTCACAGATGGTTGGAGGTCAAACATTGTTAAGATAACAAAATGGGTTCCACAGGGTTCCATCCTCGGCCCCCTCGTGTTCTCTCTTTATGTCAATGACTTGGGCACTGACCTGGATCATTCCAAGGTAAATCTTCTTTGCAGATGACACGATACTGATTACTGCTGGCCGCTCTCCGGATGACGTGATTGCTAAGCTACAGGGTGATTTCAACAAACTACAACATCAGCTAGTTGCTCTTAAACTAGTCCTGAATACCTCCAGAACCAAGGTGCTATGCTTCTCACCAGGACTAAAGCAGGAAGTTATTTTTTCCCCAATAACATCCCTTAAATAATTATTAAATAGAGCAAGTCAAGATCTATAAGTATCTTGGGGTCATCCTGGATTCAAAACTGAATTTTTAAGATCACATTGATTATATTGGTAAAAAGACAAAAATAAAAATTGGTTTTCTGTATCGACACAAGCACTGCTTCCCCCCAATGTTCCGTTTGGAATTGATGAAAGCTACCATACTGCCTCTACTTGACTACTGTGACATCGTGTATAAATCAGCCCCAAGTACTGTACTGAAGAAGCTTGATTCCATCTATCACTCGACTTTAAGATTTGCATTGAACCGCCCATATAGGACTTACCACTGTGATCTCTACATTGGGTCAAACTTAACATCTCTTAATGTTCGACGGCTTGTGCACCAGATCTTATTTATTCACGATGTACTTACGAAAAAATCCGCAGACTACCTGCTGGATCTCCTCTCTATTTCAAAGAACAAATTTGACCTCAGGTCTTCACTCATTTACCAGCTTCACATTCCCTATTGCCGTACAAAAACTGGAGGAAGGGCCTTTGCTATTGATGCCCCCAGAGTCTGGAATGCTATTGCCAATAAACTGCAACTTGAATCACTACTTATGAGATCTTCTCTCAAAACTGCTCTAGAGGCGTTGTACACCCCGAGCTGCCACTGCTATTCATTGGCGTAAAATAAAATAAAATGTTTCGTTCCGGATGACGCTGCAAAGTATTATCTGTATTTTGATTTAGCGTGCTGATCTTAAAGGTGCATTGAAAAATGTGATACTCCGACTGATGCTTCTGTTGTTGTGGAGTAACTCATGCAGCCAGCTATGGCTATAGGATTTGGTGTTACATGTTATTTATGTAGTTTATTGAAAAAATTCGGTCACAGTCCTTGTGATCACTGTTACGTTGCAATTATGGCTTTATTTTTTGGTGATTTCGAAAACGTTTTTTGGTTTGGACATGTTCGTTTTGTTGTAGTACGGAGTTAGACTGATGGCCTTAATCTAAGTTGTCTTGTGGTTGTTGTTGTTGTTGTTTGACTTGCATCCCACTGGGATTTGTTGCACACAGCGTTGGTGTATGGTGCTTTTTTCAGGAATATTTTTGCTGGTTTTTTTTTCCCATGGATTTTCTGTTTGCACAGTCAATACAAAGTCACTTTAAGATGTGTTTCTTGTTCGTGTTTTTTCGTTTGTTGTGGTTGCACCCGATTCAAGAGCCGAATGGCTCACAGGGCTATACCACTATAAATAAACTGAACTGAACGAATTCGCCCTTGGCTGCCCGCGTATCTCTCCAGACACCACGTGTCCTGCAAAAAACTAAACGATATTTGCCTTTAAGCTATTTTATTTTATTTAATTTGGTGCCATACCTTGTAAACTATAAAGAGGTTATCGTTTAATAGTGAGTTTGGGTTAGTAGGAATGGTGAGCGTGGGTAACTGTGACTGCAGCTTAAGGTGAGGGGCGAGAGTGAGCGGTGAGTAGTGTGGTGAGTGTTGGTGAGTGTTGGTGAGTAGTGTGGTGAGTGTTGGTGAGTAGTGTGGTGAGTGTTGTTGGTGAGTAGTGTGGTGAGTGTTGGTGAGTGTCGGTGAGTAGTGTGGTGAGTGTTGGTGAGTAGTGTGGTGAGTGTTGGTGAGTGGTGTGGTGAGTGTTGGTGAGTAGCGTGGTGAGTAGTGTGGTGATTGTTTGTGAGTGTTGGTGAGTGTTGGTGAGTAGTGTGGTGAGTGTTAGTGAGTAGTGTGGTGAGTGGTGTGGTGAGTGTTGGCGAATGGTGTGGTGAGTGTTGGTGAGTAGTGTGGTGAGTGTTGGTGAGTAGTGTGGTGAGTGTTGGTGAGTAGTGTGGTGAGTGGTGTGGTGAGTGTTGGTGAGTAGTGTGGTGAGTAGTGTGGTGAGTGTTGGTGCGTGTTGGTGAGTAATGTGGTGAGTGTTGGTGAGTAGTGTGGTGAGTGTTGGTGAGTAGTGTGGTGAGTGTTGGTGAGTAGTGTGGTGAGTGTTGGTGAGTGGTGTGGTGAGTGTTGGTGAGTAGTGTGGTGAGTAGTGTGGTGAGTGTTGGTGAGTAGTGTGGTGAGTAGTGTGGTGAGTGTTGGTGCGTGTTGGTGAGTAATGTGGTGAGTGTTGGTGAGTAGTGTGGTGAGTAGTGTGGTGATTGTTTGTGAGTGTTGGTGAGTGTTGGTGAGTAGTGTGGTGAGTGTTAGTGAGTAGTGTGGTGAGTGGTGTGGTGAGTGTTGGCGAATGGTGTGGTGAGTGTTGGTGAGTAGTGTGGTGAGTGTTGGTGAGTAGTGTGGTGAGTGTTGGTGAGTAGTGTGGTGTGGTGAGTGTTGGTGCGTGTTGGTGAGTAGTGTGGTGAGTAGTGTGGTGAGTGTTGGTGAGTAGTGTGGTGAGTGTTGGTGAGTAGTGTGGTGTGGTGAGTGTTGGGGCGTGTTGGTGAGTAGTGTGGTGAGTAGTGTGGTGAGTGGTGTGGTGAGTGTTGGTGAGTAGTGTGTTGAGTGTTGGTGAGTAGTGTGGTGAGTGGTGTGGTGAGTGTTGGTGAGTAGTGTGGTGAGTGGTGTGGTGAGTGTTGGTGAGTGTTGGTGAGTAGTGTGGTGAGTAGTGTGGTGAGTGGTGTGGTGAGTGTTGGTGAGTGTTGGTGAGTAGTGTGGCCAGTGTTGGTGAGTAGTGTGGTGAGTGTTGGTGAGTAGTGTGGTGAGTGTTGGTGAGTAATGTGGTGAGTAGTGTGGTGAGTAGTGTGGTGAATGTTGGTGAGTGTTGGTGAGTAGTGTGGTCAGTGTTGGTGAGTAGTGTGGTGAGTAGTGTGGTGAGTAGTGTTGTGAATGTTGGTGAGTGTTGGTGAGTAGTGTGGTGAGTGTTGGTGAGTAGTGTGGTGAGTAGTGTGGTGAGTAGTGTTGGTGAGTGTTGGTGAGTGTCGGTGAGTAGTGTGGTGAGTGTTGGTGAGTAGTGTGGTGAGTGCCGGTGAGTAGTGTGGTGAGTGGTGTGGTGAGTGGTGTGGTGAGTGTTGGTGAGTAGTGTGGTGAGTAGTGTGGTGAGTGTTGGTGAGTAGTGTGGTAAGTGTTTGTGAGTAGTGTAGTGAGTGGTGTGGTGAGTGTTGGTGAGTACTGTGGTGAGTGTTGGTGAGTAGTGTGGTGAGTGGTGTGGTGAGTGTTGGTGAGTGTTGGTGAGTAGTGTGGTGAGTAGTGTAGTGAGTTGGTGAGTAGTGTGGTGAGTAGTGTGGTGAGTAGTGTGGTGAGCAGTGTGGTGAGTGGTGTTGGTGAGTGTTGGTGAGTGGTGTGGTGAGTGTTGGTGAGTAGTGTGGTGAGTAGTGTGGTGAGTAGTGTGGTGAGTGGTGTTGGTGAGTAGTGTGGTGAGTAGTGTGGTGAGTGTTGGTGAGTAGTGTTGTGAGTAGTGTGGTGAGTAGTGTGGTGAGTGGTGTTGGTGAGTAGTGTGGTGACTGTTGGTGATTAATGTTGTGAGTGGTGTGGTGAGTGTTGGTGAGTAGTGTGGTGAGTGTTGGTGAGTAGTGTGGTGAGTAGTGTGGTGAGTAGTGTGGTGAGTAGTGTGGTGAGTGTTGTGGTGAGTGTTGGTGAGTGTCGTTGAGTAGTGTGGTGAGTGTTGGTGAGTAGTGTGGTGAGTAGTGTGGTGAGTGTTGGTGAGTAGTGTGGTGAGTAGTGTGGTGAGTGTTGGTGAGTAGTGTGGTGAGTGTTGGTGAGTAGTGTGGTGAGTGTTGGTAAGTAGTGTGGTGAGTGTTGGTGAGTAGTGTGGTGAGTAGTGTGGTGAGTGTTGGTGAGTAGTGTGGTGAGTGTTGGTGAGTAGTGTGGTGAGTGTTGGTGAGTGTCGGTGAGTAGTGTGGTGAGTGTTGGTGAGTAGTGTGGTGAGTGGTGTGGTGAGTGTTGGTGAGTGGTGTGGTGAGTGTTGGTGCGTGTTGGTGAGTAATGTGGTGAGTGTTGGTGAGTAGTGTGGTGAGTAGTGTGGTGATTGTTTGTGAGCGTTGGTGAGTGTTGGTGAGTAGTGTGGTGAGTGTTAGTGAGTAGTGTGGTGAGTGGTGTGGTGAGTGTTGGCGAATGGTGTGGTGAGTGTTGGTGAGTAGTGTGGTGAGTGTTGATGAGTAGTGTGGTGAGTGTTGGTGAGTAGTGTGGTGAGTGGTGTGGTGAGTGTTGGTGCGTGTTGGTGAGTAGTGTGGTGAGTGTTGGTGAGTAGTGTGGTCAGTGTTGGTGAGTAGTGTGGTGAGTAGTGTGGTGAGTAGTGTTGTGAATGTTGGTGAGTGTTGGTGAGTAGTGTGGTGAGTGTTGGTGAGTAGTGTGGTGAGTAGTGTGGTGAGTAGTGTGGTGAATGTTGGTGAGTGTTAGTGAGTAGTGTGGTGAGTGTTGGTGAGTAGTGTGGTGAGTAGTGTGGTGAGTAGTGTTGGTGAGTGTTGGTGAGTGTCGGTGAGTAGTGTGGTGAGTGTTGGTGAGTAGTGTGGTGAGTGCCGGTGAGTAGTGTGGTGAGTGGTGTGGTGAGTGGTGTGGTGTGTGTTGGTGAGTAGTGTGGTGAGTGTCGGTGAGTAGTGTGGTGAGTGGTGTGGTGAGTGTTGGTGAGTAGTGTGGTGATTGTTGGTGAGTGTTGGTGAGTAGTGTGGTGAGTGTTGGTGAGTGAAGGTTGACTCACGCTGAGGTAGAGCGGCACCTCGCGCGTGCACGCGCACGTGATCAGCAGGAGACGCAGCAGTGAGGCGCTCATCCCGACCGCCACCTGCTCATTCACAAAAAAACCGCATGAGTCCGTTCATAAAAAAAAACGTACGAGCCCATTCACAAAAAAAACCGCACGAGCCCATTCATAAAAAAACCGCACGAGTCCATTCACAAAAAAACCGCAGGAGCCCATTCATAAAAAAACCGCACGAGCCAATTCATAAAAAAACGCACGAACCCATTCATAAAAAAACCGCACGAGCCCATTCATAAAAAACCGCACGAGCCCATTCACAAAAACACGCACACTTCCATTTCATTTAAAGGCAAGGACCCATTCCCAATACACACACACGCCCATTCACAAAACGCAAAGGGAGCATTCACAAAATCGCACGGATTCAATCACAAAGACGCATACGGCTATGAACAAAACCGCAAGGGCGGATTCACAAAAAACCGCGCGCGCCTCTTCACAAACATACAAGGGCCCATTCCTACAAACACAGGCGCCCATTCATAAAAACAAACCCCATGGGCCCCGTTCCCTAAAACGCACGCGCCCATTCACAAACACACGAGGGACTAATCCCAATAAACACGCACGCGCCCATTCACACAAAAAACCGCGCTCGCCCCACCCCCCTCTTCCAAAAATAAACGTGCGCCCATTCATAAATATTCAGGGTGATCCATGAACAGACACCCCACTCACTCAGGGACACACCGGAGAAGTTAGAGAGCAAAGCGACACCAATTCCAAAAGCCGCTCCTTGCTCGGTGGTCATTCTGATGATGTTTAAATAGGGGGGTGGGGGGATGTGGGGGGGGGATGGAGGGAGGGGTGATCGTAATCACCCGTGCCACCCTCTGGATGAGTCAGCGAGAGCGTGAATGTTGCTTCTAGAAGGGAACCACGCTGAAGTCTGCTTGACGTCGGGAAGTGCATCAATGTCGTCCTCGTGATTGGAGTCACGCAGCGCGGGGGAGCGGTAACGTTGCAGCTCTGCCGCAGCTGCTGTTGCGTGTGTGAGTGTGTGTCTGTGAGTGTGTGTCTGTGAGTGTGTCTATGTGTGTGTGTGTCTGTGTGTGAGTGTGTGTCTATGTGTGTGTGTGTCTATGTGTGTGTGTGTCTGTGTGTGTGTGTATGTGTGTGTCTGTGTGTATATGTGTGTGTCTGTGTGTGTCTGTGTGTGTGTCTGTGTGTGTGTGTATATGTGTGTGTGTCAATGTGTGTGTGTGTCTGTGTGTGTGTGTCTATGTGTGTGTGTGCCTGTGTGTGTCTATGTGTGTGTGTGTCTGTGTGTGTATGTGTGTGTGTGTATATGTGTGTGTGTGTCTGTGTGTGTGTATATATATGTGTATATTTGACCTGGTCAAGGCCTATGATACCATCAGTAGGCCTGGGCTCTGGGTCGTTCTTCGTGCTTTTGGAGTACCTGACCCTCTGCTCACGATCATTAAGGACCTTCATGATGGTGAGCGGGCCCGGGTAAAACTACGTGGCCGGGAGTCAGAGCCATTCCCTGTACACCTTGGGGTGCGACAGGGATGTCCTCTGGCTCCCACATTATTTAACATCTATTTTGACCACGTAGTTCGTGAAGCCTTCAATAGCTGTACCGGGGGAATCTCCATATGGTACAGATATAATGGGAGGCTAATCGATGCCCGGGTGCGGTCAAGGGATGGCTCCCTATTGCTCAACCACGTTAAGTATGCTGATGATTTGGTAATAGCTGCTCAGTCAGAGGAGGAGTTGGAGACGCTGCTGCTGAGACTGGAGCGTGCCACTAAGAGGTGGGGCCTTACCATCAGCCCCACCAAAACTAAACACCTGCCTGGGTATTTTGTACCATCGGACACTCCACCCCCACAACTCCCAATCGGTGATGGGGCAGTTGTGGCGAGAGTGGAGAGTTTCCCATATCTGGGCAGTGTGCTTATGACTGGCTCCAGTTTAACAGCAGAGGTCTCACTCCGAATCGGTCGAGCGGCAATATCTTTTCATCGGTTGCGTAACGCTGTGTGGAAGCTACCTGGTCTGTCGCTCCGCACTAAGCTTCAGGTCTTCTCGGCCACGGTCATTCCTTCCCTTCTCTACGCTTGCGAAACGTGGACCCCCCTAATGGAACATCTTCGCCGGTTAGAAACATTTAGGCTGGCCTGCCTACGATCCATCCTGGGTTTAACCAGACTGGATTGTGTGAGGAGCTCACAAATCCTTGAAAGATCTGGGCAGGGTCCCATCGGTGAGCTCCTCCGGCAGGCAAAGCTGCGATGGCTGGGTCATGTAGCCCGCATGCCCAGCCACCGCATGCCGAAACAGCTTTTGTTTGGCCGGATTGAGGGGGCTAAGCGGGCGCGGCACGGGCTAGAGAAGAGATGGAGTGATGTGGTACAGGAGGACGTGGAGCTGAGTGGACTTGCCGATGACTGGTACCAGCGGTGTCAAGATCGGCCTCTGTGGAGGAGGCTCGTGAAGGATGCTACTGGGCAGTTGGAGGCAGTCGCCCTCCAACAACAACGGAGGGCGGAGGAGCGACGCTCAGAACAACGACCGGAGCGCCAGGTGGCTAAAGCACAGCAGGTTGGCACAGTAGGGGGCACAGGTGGTGCATCAGTCAGTCATCTCAGTCAGTCGACCCGTGGCACCTGGGTCTGCCCAGTGACCTCCTGCCAGCGGGCGTTCGACACTTCACGTGGCCTCACGGTGCACATAGCCTGGCACAAGCGTCGTGGTGACGTCACCGCCACTTAGTGGCGAATGGCGGTTGTTGTTGTTGTTGTGTATATATGTGTGTGTCTGTGTGTGTGTATATGTGTGTGTGTCTGTGTGTGTATATGTGTGTCTGTGTCTGTGTGAGTATATGTGTGTGTATCTGTGTGTATCTGTATGCGTGTCTGTGTGTGTGTGTCTGTGTGTGTCTGTGGCACAAGCGTCGTGGTGACGTCACCGCCACTAAGTGGCGAATGGCGGCTGTTGTTGTTGTGTGTCTGTCTGTGTGTGTGTGTCTGTCTGTGTGTGTGTCTGTGTGTGTGCCTTTGTGTGTATATGAGTGTCCGTGTGTGTGTCTTTGTGTGTCTGTGTGTATGTGTCTATGAGTGTCTGTGTGTGTGTCTTTGTGTGTCTGCTTTTGGAGTACCTAACCGTCTGCTCATGATCAATAAGGACCTTCATGATGGTGAGCGGGCCCGGGTAAAACTACGTGGCCGGGAGTCAGAGCCATTCCCTGTACACCTTGGGGTGCGACAGGGATGTCCTCTGGCTCCCACATTATTTAACATCTATTTTGACCACGTAGTTCGTGAAGCCTTCAATAGCTGTACCGGGGGAATCTCCATATGGTACAGATATAATGGAAGGCTGATCGATGCCCGGGTGCGGTCAAGGGATGGCTCCCTATTGCTCAACCACGTTATGTATGCTGATGATTTGGTAATAGCTGCTCATTCAGAGGAGGAGTTGTAGACGCTGCTGCTGAGACTGGAGCGTGCCACTAAGAGGTGTGGCCTTACCATCAGCCATACCAAAAACTAAGCACCTGCCTGGGTATTTTGTACCATCGGACACTCCACCCCCACAACTCCCAATCGGTGATGGGGCAGTTGTGGAGCGAGTGGAGAGTTTCCCATACCTGGGCAGTGTGCATATGACCGGCTCCAGTTTAACAGCAGAGGTGTCACTCCGAATTAGTCGAGCGGCAATATCTTTTCATCGGTTGCGTAACGCTGTGTGGAAGCTACCTGGTCTGTCGCTCCGCACTAAGCTTCAGGTCTTCTCGGCCACGGTCATTCCCTCCCTTCTCTACGCTTGCGAAACGTGGACCGCCCTAATGGAACATCTTCGCCGGTTAGAAACATTTAGGCTGGCCTGCCTACGATCCATCCTGGGTTTAACCAGACTGGATTGTGTGAGGAGCTCACAAATCCTTGAAAGATCTGGGCAAGGTCAGATCGGTGAGCTCCTCCGGCGGGCAAGGCTGCGATGGCTGGGTCATGTAGCCCGCATGCCCAGCCACCGCATGCCGAAACAGCTTTTGTTCGGCCGGATTGAGGGGGCTAAGCGGGCGCGGCATGGGCTAGAGAAGAGATGGAGTGATGTGGTACAGGAGGACGTGGAGCTGACTGGACTTGCCGATGACTGGTACCAGCGGTGTCAAGATCGGCCTCTGTGGAGGAGGCTCGTGAAGGATGCTACTGGGCAGTTGGAGGTAGTCGCCCTCCAACAACAACGGAGGGCGGAGGAGCGACGCTCAGAACAACGAGCGGAGTGCCGGGTGGCTAAAGCACAGCAGGTTGGCACAGTAGGGGGCACAGGTGGTGCATCAGCCAGTCATCTCAGTCAGTCGACCCGTGGCACCTGGGTCTGCCCCGTGACCTCCTGCCAACGGGCGTTCGACACTTCACGTGGCCTCAGGGTGCACATAGCCTGGCACAAGCGCCGTGGTGACGTCATTGCCACTTAGTGGCGAATGGCGGTTGTTGTTGTTGTGTAACAAAAGAATGAAGGGGGCGTGGGAGCGTGGCGGTGAGGTGTGGGAAGATGTAAGCCCCAGGCTACTTTGGGCTCGCCTTCCCATCAATCGGAGGCAAGGAGTGGTGGTCGTGGTTACTTATGCCCCCACCGAAGATGAACATCCGTGGAGGGATGCAGGCAAAGCCGATGAGTCAGATGCCTTCTATGACCTCCTGTCACAGGTGCTGGCTAAAGTGGCCCCTCGGGATAGAGTCATCTTGTTGGGTGACTTCAATGCCCGAGTGGGTCATGATGCTGGCACCTGGTCTGGAGTGATTGGAGGGCATGGGCCAGATCAGCTAAAAAACAACGGTAGGAGGCTGCTAGATTTTTGTGCAGCCCATGGGCTTGTAATTACCAACACGTTGTCCCGGCATCGGCGCATCCACACAACATCATGGATGCATGCCGGGTCCAAGCAAGAACATCTGCTGGACTACATAGTGACGGACCAGCGAATGCGAGCCCATGTCCTTGACACCAGGACCTACCGTGGAGCTGATCTGCCCTCTGACCATCGACTTGTCATCTGTAAGATG